TGTAAACGAAAAGTAGTAGTAATAGAATGCAACATCATAATGTTTGTAAGCCAAAGTAAACTGAACTTTGAATATCATTATTAAATAATGAGAAATAAATTACCAAAATTAGATGTATTTTAAGAGTTGATTGTTCTTAATCACTTATAATATCATAATTGTAGAATTTCATATAAATTCACATAAATCAAAATTGTTTGAATGATTGATTGTTCTTAATATCTTTAAAATATCAATATCTTATAATTTCAAATTAATCCATATGAATCAAAAGTATCTTAATGATTATTAATATTTGACAAAAATATCTTCAAATATTCAGAAAAATGAGTGCTCATTTAATAAAAATAGGAAAATCGACCTAGAAGTTACAAAAAAATCTGATTTTCAAGAATTAATTCTAAAGTGATTTATTACAACTTCACAAAAAAAATATTCTGAAATCTATAATTCGTGGAAAAAACTCATAATTTAAGGACCTAAAGAAACATTTTTAATGCAAATGGAAATTGATTAAAAGTCATCTGGCCTCTTCATTAACAGTAATGAAAATACTTGACTCTCAAAGCTAATATCCCAAAATTCAAATTTAAAGTATTTTGCAATAGACCACTTGAAATTATCACGTTCAAAAGATTATTGATTGCGATGTACGTAAAAGCTAAACTATATGTTTAAGAGGAAAGATTTCTCAACTGGCATCATGATAATTTATGATGTGAAGTATCATTTAATAACAAAAGCTTTATAATATAATTATTATTAATTCTTATTTAGTTAAATGTGATATAATAATTGATAAAAATGAGTATTTTAAAAGAATTCCTCTCTTTCTAGGGAAAGTATATTTAATTCAATTTATATGATCTTTTGTTAAGCTCAAACTTCTTACAATTTTATAAATCATAAATTTAGAAAGATTTTTGATTTATATTACCTAAAGATTGTAATTTCATGACTTTTTTTTGTAATTTAGATTATTAATTTTAACTTACCTTCTTTGGATTTTATTTGAGAATTTCACTTTTGTTTTTATCATACCAAATTATTTATTAGTTAAAGTATCGGTGATAAATACACAGCATTAAAGAATTTTTATTGATTTTTCATTTATAAATAAATGATTATATTTGATAATTGTGATTACTCATGGTGCCACTTTATGAAATATAAATTGAATTTTCAAATTTAAAAATGCAGGAAAAATTCATCAGCAAGTAGTTTTATTATAATATAATTTAATTTTATTAAAATAAATATTGTTTTTTCACAAAATAAATTTTAAAATAAATATTCTCATGAGGAATCTAATTTTTAAATAGGGCATAACTATCATTTAATTATTATAGAACAATTATTTGATTTCAATCTACTGCTTAGATGATGTAAAGGATAATGAATTTACAAATATGACTCGCTAATCACTCTTGAGAACATTCCTTTATATTTCTTTTTTATGCATTTTTAAAGGATTTATATAATTAATATAACTTCTATTATTTCTAATGAATTTAAAAACGCTTATTTTTTAGCTCATTGGAATTAATTTTAGAAGCAAATTATTTATTCCATATTCCTTTCTACTTCTTCTTAAAATTGAAAAACTAATGCCAAAAATATGCAAACTATTAATAATAGTTGTAAAATGAGCGGAAAATAGTTTTCTCTATTAATTTTTTTGATAACATTGATTTTTGATATATATAAGATAACATATAATAGAAATTCATATAATTATTTTTTTCAAATGGGTTGCGTAAGTACTCAAATAATTTAAAATGAACCATTTGTATATTAAAGGAAGGATGATTTATATAAGATATTAGACTCATTAAAAGTAATTGATGTATAACTTCTAAAGAGGATTATTGCTGCTTTAAAAAAAGAGAAAGTCACAAATTGTCTAGGTTATCTTTCAAAGCATTGTTAACAAAAAAATAAAGAATAATCTAACATTAAGTATATTGCTGATATTATTGGAAATATTTGCGAACTTGATTTTAACAAAAAGAATTATTCAACAAATGAATAATAATAATAGAGAAAGCATCTAATCACTTAAATCTCTTATGATAAGAAAATATTAGAATTTTTAGAATTTCTAGTTCAACTTACAGCCTTAGATGAGAATTTAATATAATGCGGATCAAATTCTTTAAATATTTTAGTTGAAATGAAGGTTGATTTGGCGTATCACAATTTTCAAAATATCAAGATTAAAAATACTTAATTAATAGGAGCCAATTTTGTCAAATGTGATTTAAGTGGCTCTGAATTTGATAATGTCATTATTAGTGGAATAAATTTGAATGGAGCAAAATTATTTAATTGCAAATGGAAGAATTTAAGAATAAATGAGTTAAATAAGTTGAATGGTCATCGGGATAAAGTCAATTAAGTTTGCTTTTCTCCAGATGGTAAGTTCTTAGCTTCTTGCAGTGATGACAATGATATTCGTTTTTGGGATGTCAAAACAGGAAAAACAAAGTCAATATTATAAGGAGATAGGAATATCAATTCAGTCTGCTTCTCACGAAATGCGAGACTATTGGAGTCCTGCAGTGGCAAATTTGTATATAGGTGGAACCTTCAAACTAGAAAGCATATACATAAATTTAAAGTTCATACTGAAGATGTAAATATAGTTTGTTTCTCTCTTGATGGTAGTATATTAGCATTTGGTTGTGAAAGACAACTCTATCCGTTTATGGGATGTTAAGACAGCATAATAATATCTTTAATTAGATGGTCATACTGCGTAAATCTAATCAGTCTGTTTCTCCTCTGATAACACTAAATTAGCATCTGGTAGTGATGATAATTCTATCTGTTTATGGGATGTTAAGACAGGATAAAAATATCACTAATTGGATGGTCATACTGGTTATGTAAATGCAGTCTGTTTCTCTCCTGATTGTACTACATTAGCATCTGGTAGTTTTGATTACTCTATCCGTTTTTGGGATGTAAAAACAGGATAATAAGCAGCAAAATTAGATGGCCATACTCATGAAGTCAGATTTGTCTGTTTCTCTCCAGATGGTACTACATTAGCATCTGCTAGTTGGGATAACTCAGTTTTCATATGGGATGTTATAAAAAGAGAATAAAAAGTCAGTATAGATGGTCACACTAAATAGGTGACTTCAGTTTGTTTCTCTCCTGATGGTACGGCATTAGCATCTGGTAGCTATGATAATTCTATCCGTTTATGGGATATTTAGACAATATTATAATATCACTAATTAGATTGTCACATTGATAGTATACGATCAGTGTGTTTCTCTCCTGATGGCACTACTTTAGCATCTGGAAGCGATGATTACACCATCCGCTTATGGGATGTTAAGACAGGATAATAAAAAATCAAATTAGAGGGTCATAGCAGTTATGTCATCTCTATTTGTTTCTCTCCTGATGGTTTTACATTAGCCTCTGGTAGTGGAGATTGCTCTGTTCGATTATGGGATGTTAAGCAAGGATAATAAAAAGCTCAAATAAACGGACATAATGATTACGTCAGATCAGTATGTTTCTCTCATGATGGTAATACTTTAGCATCTGGTTGTGATGATTTGACTATTCGTTTATGGAATGTTGAGACGTAATAGGTAATACATTAATTTGTTACTGAGATTAAATATTTATTTTCAACTCATTTTTCTCCTGATTGTACTACATTAGCGTCTGGATGTATTGATGGTTATATCAGTTTATGGGATGTGAAGACAGGAGAATAGAAAGTCTCATTAGATTATCATAATAATCCTGTTAGTTCAGTATGTTTTCTCTCCTGATGGTAGTACATTAGCATCAGTACAGCGTTTT